CTAGATTGACAGCTGAAAAAAGAGGGTGTCTTCTGAATTTGATACTACTACTTTACCAGTGGGCTTGGATTATTTTTTAGAATTTTTTAAATTTATGTGTGTTTTCCCTTTGGGGTTTGTTCTTTGTCCATTTAGACCAAATCATTTAAAATTTATGCTTAAAAATTTTTTTTTAGTTTGCTGTGATCTCTTTGTAATTATGCCTTAATACTTAACATATCTGCAAATATTTTTAGTGTTTGCTTTTAACTTTTTAAATACATAGTCAACTATTTTTTTTTTTTTTTGAGACAGAGTCTTGCTTTATTACCCAGGCTGGAGTGCAGTGTCACTATCTCGGCTCACTGCAACCTGCAACCACCACCTCCTAGGTTCAAGTAATCCTCCCTCCTTAGCCTCCCAAGTAGCTGGGATTGCAGGTGTGTGCCACCATGCACAGAGGTAAACATTTTGTATTTTTTTTTCTTGTGTAGAGACGGGCTTTTGCCATGTTTGCAGGTTGGACTCAAACTGTTGAACTCAAACTGTCTGGCCAGCATTGGCCTCTCAAAGTGCTGAGATTACAGGCATGAGCCACCTTGCCCGGCCTAGACAACAATTTGATGACTTATGTGGTTGCTTACTTTTTGTGTCCTATAAAAGTCAGAGGTACAAGTTTATAATGTGGCAGTACACTGAAGGAAATTTTAAGAAGACCATTTCCCTGAGTTGTTAAATAGAAAGGCTCTAATAGGTATGTACTGTTCTGTGAGATTCAAAGATAGAATTTAGAGTTTCAACAGAGATTGGATGATAACATGTCTTAGACCATTTTCTCTGTCATTTTTTATAACTTTTTTGTGTAAGAGCTAGACAACATACAGTACTGATGTGGTCTGGGAATTTGTGGAATAGGTATGATATTGAGTAGATGATACTGAGATACTGTGATGGAAATTGATTACAACTATTGTTCTTTTCTGAACAGAAGGCTGTGCCCACTTTCATATCTGTAGACAAAATCAGAATTTTTCTAGTTTTCCCAAAATTGTATTCAAGTTTTCCAAAGAAACAGAGCCAATAGGATTTAATTAATTAGTTAATTAATTCAGATTTGGTTCATGAAATTATGGAGGCTGATAAGTCCCAAGATCTGGGAGGTGATTTGGCAAGCTGGAGATCTAGGATTGTTGCTAGCATAGTTCCAGTCTGAAGGTTGGCAGGCTTATGCCCCAGGAAGAGATCCGTTCAAGTTTGAAGGTGGGAAAAAGCCAGTGTTTTAGTCAAAGGAGATCAGGCAAGAATGATTCTCTTTTGCTTAGGGAATGGTTAGCTTTTTTCTTCTGTTCAGGCCTTCAGTTGATTCAGTGAAGCCCACCCACATTATGGAGGGTAGTCTGTGTTATCCAGTTGACCAATTTGAATGTTGATGTCATCCAAACACCTTCACAGAAGTAATGTTTGACTGCATATCTGGGCACCCCATGGTCCAGTCAAGTTGTCATGTAAAATTAACCATCATACATATTTGACATTGTTTCAGAGTTCCAGTCAATATGAATAAACTGATATTATTTTATTCTGGAAAAAGAAACCTAAAACTGTTGTTGATATATGTTTGTTTTTGTAATCCTTGAAAAACCTCAGTAGTGCTTTCATGAATTGTCAGATTCTGAGCAGCCTGGCTGCTGATATGTACTCTAGGATGAGCTCACTTTTCAGTTGGAATGATTTTTTACTCTGCATCTCAGGAGTCTGCAAACTGGCCTCAGGCTACCTCTGATTTGTCACCTGTTTTTATAAATAAAGTTTTATTACAACATAGCCACACCCATTTTATTGTCTACAGCTCATTTAGACTTCAGTGGCAGAACTGGCTAGTTGAGACTGAGATTGAGTGGCCCACAAAGCTGAAAATATTTACTATCTGGCTCTCTACAGAAAAAGGATTTGTTGAACTGTTTTTCTGGCAGTAGTTAATTATGCAAGACTAATGATTGAAGGTTTTCCTAGCTTGTAATAATAAGACCATAGCATTAGTCTATATAGTGGTGTTTTGCTCCCTATTACTGGAGTGAGAGAGTGAGTGAGTGAGTGAGAGAGAGATTGATTATTTCCTTTTAATCTATAAATGGTTGATTGGCCAAGACTTGTCAACAATAGAGTGGAGGTGTGTTGTGGGCTCTAATGGAGGATTATTGTATACTGCTCAAAATAGTTACATTGCCTAAAAGCAAGGGTTTTAAATTTAGCCATTTAATGCAGATTTTGTAAAAATTGTTACTAGGAATCTGAATTTATGTGTCTTGATCTATAGCTGGTTTCTAACCTCATTATCAAATGTTGATGTAATCCGCAAATCAGTATATGTACTTTACAGCATTTCCCCACATAAATTAGTAGAATGAATAAAATAATAACCAGTGATGGAGTAAATCTTCTTGTAATGTATTTGCTCCTTTAGTAAAACATAGTCAGTATTAGCATTTAGATAATAGAGCTCCCCGAAGGTTTTTTCCATGTATGTAAATATACAAACTCTTCTCCAGCTGTGGAATCGTACTATGTATACAGCTACATAAAATGCTTCTGTTCCACACATACTTAATATATTTTGGATGTTCTTCCATATTTAAGAATAGGTTGGTAAAATCATTTTTATTATGTAAATATTATCCAACTAATTAACAGTATGTATTTGTTCATAGGCTTTTCCTTATTTTAAGCAGTGCTGTCAAGAATGTACTTGTACTCATATTTTATACTTGTCTGATATTTCCTTAGGATAAACTCTCAGTAGAAGGTCATGTCTGTGTTGAAATTTAGATACCACTTTCCAGTTTGCTCTTTAGAAAGGTTGTACCAATTTGCAAGGCCACAAAAATATATGAGCATGCACCTCACTTGGTTGACACCAGTCTTTCATTTGTCAACTTGATAGTATCAAAAATCCAGAAAATTTTGTGTTTTTCACTTCTCCCATTATTAAAGAGATTTGGCATCTTTTCTTATCTTTATTTTCCATTTATATATAGTCCCAGCCTACTTAATGCTATTTGCTGGGTATTCTTAAAAGAAAAATTATTCAGCTAATAGGTTTGCACTTTTGAGAGTAGACTGGTTGCCTTTTTTGATAATGGTTTAGACGGGACTTTGAGTTCATTTAGATGGGATGTTACCTGATTGAAAAAAAAATTTTGATATAGATTATAGATCACAGATCAGAATTAGAATAGATCTGGTGACAACACCTTCCTCTGGTGCTTTGATGTGAGTGTTGAATCACATAAATTGAAAAGTCTCATTCAGAGAGAAGTCTAGAAGCTACAGAGCTTTAAGTGGTTGTTCTGGACCTCAGAGCTGGTAAAAGTTTATCTTTGGCCAATATTTTTCAACTTTGATTTGTTAATTTAAATGTATAAGGCTTTTAAGGCTGCTTGTATACTGTATACATCTGTAAAGCCTAAATTATTTGATAAATTGCATTTAAATAAAACTTTAAAGTTTTATTTTATTAAAAATGTTTTAATAAAATAGTATTAAAATGATAATGTTTTGTTAAAAATGAATTATAATGTTGAACTTAATATGATAGAAGTAGCTTCAGGTCTGGTTTTATTATTAATTGGTTTATATGCTTTGATTTTAATATTAACATAGAGAACAACTATTCCTAAAAGTGTAGTTAAAAAAAAAACTGGTATAAATAACTATATGCACGTTTGTTTTGTTACCCTTATGTTTAAACTGCCAGAAGGCATTCCTTACATGCCAGTTACAATAGGATATCACTTAATTCTTTAAAACTATCTTGTTTCAAATAATGGTAAGTACCCAGTGATGTCATTTGCTCTTTACTTAGAAGCATCTGCTATTGCAACCATAAAACACAAATGGGGACATTGAATTATGTGATAAATCTGTTTAAGGTTGCTGTACAGATACAGGAGCATTGAAATTATGTGGATATAATGTTTTAAGGTGGCAATTCAGATAATCTGTAATATGCTTATTAATTTTTTAAGAGCTGTCATTGAAATGAAAGCCTAAAATTCATTTAGGGATACTTCTTAATTTTCATGAATAATTCTGTAAGCCCCAAATTTAGACTCACTGTGTTAGGCATTAGTAAAGATTTGTGCTTCTACAGGTTTTATATCCAGTTTAACAAATTTAAAGTTTCTCTTTCTAATTATAGTACAGTAACAATTTCTAGATGTTAATTTACTTCTGCATCTAACTTGTAACAAATAGTACACATTGGAACTGGTCCATGGATATCCTTTGAGTAGCATTGTACTAGAGAATAAAAGAATTTAAGTAATGGGTAAAACAGAAAAAGTCAAATAAACGTTAAGTAAAAATGGTTAGGTGAAAATAAACATTGAAAGAACAATGAAAAACCTTAAAGTAGCTAAAAACTATTTAAATTAAAAGGACAGATCAAGCTAAGAGTAGGAAAAAGCTGTGCTATTAAACTATTATATAATAATTAAATAAATTCAAATAAAATGACATAAAATAATTTAAAAATTTTAAGTGATGATTGTAGACACAATTTAGTAGACATGTAGTAGAAAAAATGGATCGTTTTCATATTCCGTGTGGATATCTATCTATATTATCATGCATTATTATTGAATTTTTCCTGAGTTCTGATTCTCAGTTAATGCATGAATGTGGAATCACAGATGCCTACCTATCAATTATTCTAGAGCAGAGTACTGATATCTGAAGATAAGTAGATTTAACATTTTTAATAACACAGTAGTATGTCTTTAAAAGTTTAATGCCCAGAAGCAGAAAAGAGTTCTTCAGCTAGAGGAAGCTATGTAATCACACTTAACTGATACATGTGTGATACATAAGTTTATTTGGTTAATTTTGTTGATTATTTTAAATTATTTTGGGCAGAAAGGAACCTTTTATATTTTATGTGTATTTTCCACAAGGTAAAAAAAAATCTTCTGCCTACTCAGATATTATATACGTGTTAACTGTTGGATATTTCCCTTTTTTAGGCCCAGATTATTCATCAGCATGGCTACCTGGTAATGAATCATTGTGGCAGGCCACAACTGTTCCATCTAACCATCAAAGTAACCATGTCAGGAGACACAGTATAGCTTCTGACAGTGGAGACACTGGCATTGGAACTTCCTGTTCTGATAGTGTGGAAGGTGAGTTAAAATTCTTAATGTTTACATATGAATCTTTGAAGAGTGGTTGTGATGTAAGAATATTTAGGGGATATGTTTTATTGTTTGATATTGAAAATTATAGTGTTTAAATTTAATAATGTTCAGTGTTGCTATATATCAAATAAAATTTGATGAATTTGGTGTTTCATACTGAAAATTATAGTGTTTGAATATTTAATAATGTTCAGTGTTGATATATATCAAATAAAATCCCTCTAGTCATATTAGAGTTTTTTCTTCACCTTTTTAACTAAACTTCTTATTTTGAGATGCAGATTTACATGTAGTTGGGCTGGGCGCGGTGGCTCAAGCCTGTAATCCCAGCACTTTGGGAGGCTGAGGCGGGTGGATCATGAGGTCAAGAGATCGAGACCATCCTGGTCAACATGGTGAAACCCCGTCTCTACTAAAAATACAAAAGATTAGCTGGGCGTGGTGGCGCGTGCCTGTAATCCCAGCTACTCAGGAGGCTGAGGCAAGAGAATTGCCTGAACCCAGGAGGCGGAGGTTGCAGTGAGCGGAGATTGCGCCATTGCACTCCAGCCTGGGTAACGAGCGAAACTCCGTCTCAAAAAAAAAAGAAAGAAATAATAGTGTTGTAACCAGGATATTGACAATGACAAAGCTGAGATTCAGAACATTTCCATATACCTTATGTTGCCCACACACACTGCTCTCTCTCCCTGCTCTCCTCTACCCCCTTAACTCTTGGAAGCCACTTTACTCTCGATTTCTATAGTTTTGTTTTTCAAGAATACTTTATAAGTGGAATCATAACCATATATAACCTTTTGAAATTGACTTTCTTCTCTGGATTTTCATCCAGTTGTTAAATGTATCAACATTCCATTCTTTTTTATTGATGAGTAGCATTCAGTAATGGTGGTATTAGAGAGAATACAGTTCGAATACACTGTGAAGTCATGTGTACAGTGTTTATTTCTGCCAGCAATGATGTATGAGAACGTATGGAATTGAAAACTAGGTAAGCTCACCTGAGCCTTGGTGTCCAGGGTCTTTTCGTGGGTATGTAGGTGTGGTTGACTGCCCTCATGGATTACCTCAGTTTGCAGCTGATACCATTTGGTCCAAGACCCCCACCATCAATCACATTATTAGCATAGAATATATGGAGTGGCCTAAAATCCCCAGGTAAAGAAAGACTTTCTTACTAGGCAGGACATTCCAAGAGCTTAGAGGTTACCTCCTAGGAGCTGGGCAAAGGCCACATCTTTCTCAGAGTATGCACGGTGTGGGAAACTCAGTAATTCATCCTTATTTCACAGTGTGAGACATAGACTGAGGTGTTTTGCCTTATTACTTTTTGGGTAGAGTTATATCTACTGTATTGTTTTCAAAATTGTTTTAGCTCTTCTACTTCCTTTTCCTTTCTGTATAAACTTAGAATTTGAAGTCTGGGTATTTGGTTAAAAAAGGAAAAAAATAAGCTTAGCATAATCAAGCTACTGGAAGTAAAATTCATAAAAATTATGAGTTTGTACGAAAAAGAATACAAACAAATCTTCCAGGGAATATGATAGGAATTGTGTTATCTATCAGATTGGGGAGAATTTCATCTTTTCTTGGTGAGTTTTTCAATCTATGAATATAGTATGTTCTTTATTTATTTAGATTTTTTATTTTTCTCACCGGTGTTGTATAGTTTTTAATATACATTTTCTATACATATGTTGTTAGATTTATACTGAAATATTTTATATTTTTGGTGTTATTGTAAATGGTATTATATTTTCAGTTTTGTTGATGTTTTATAGAACCTAGAAATAAATTTAGAATTACATTTATAATATAGAGATAGATTTGCTTTTTAAAAAATTAATTATTAGTTAATTAATTTTTCTGAGATGGAGTTTCGTTCTTGTTGCCCAGGCTGGAGTACAGTGGTATTAGCTCACTGTAACCTCCACCTCCTGGGTTTGAGTGATTCTCCTGCCTCAGTCATCCAAGTAGCTGGGATTACAGGTGCGTGCCACCACACCCAGCTAATTTTTATATTTTTAGTAGAGACAGGGTTTTGCCATGTTGGCCAGGCTGGCCTCGAACTCCTGATCTCAGGTGATCTGCCCACCTAGGCCTCCCAAAGTGGTGAGATTATAGACCTGAGCCACTGTGCCCGGCCAAATTTGCTTTTTGTGTATTTATCTTGTATTTGTTACCTTGCTAAACTCACTCATTAGTTCTAAAAATTTGTGTTGGTAGATTCCTTGGAATTTTGAATGTAGACAATCACATTGTCCATAAATAAGGATTATTTTTCTTTCTGATTTGTCTGCCTTTTGTTTTCTTCTCTTAACTGCAGTGACTAGAAGAACATCCAATACAATGTTGGATATGAGTAGTAGGAGTGGATATCTTTTTCTGATTAGACAGAGCATTCAGTCTTTCACTGCTAAGTAGCAGTAGTATAGCTGTTAGCTGTAGGTTTTTGTAGATACCATTTATCAATTTGAGGGCGTTTCTTATTCCTAGTTTATGGAGGGTTTTTATCATGAATGGATATTGGATGTTGTCAGTTTTTTTCCCTCAGTGAATAGATTTATGATTTTCTTCTTTAGCTTGTTGATATGGTAGTGCATTTTATTACTTGGTTTAAAAACGTTCAACCAACTTTCTATCCCTGGAATAAGCTCTACTTGGTCATAGTATATAATTCTTTTTATATATTGCTGAATTTTGTTTATATTTTGTTAAGGATTTTTTTTGGTATATCGATAAGGAATATTGTCCTGTAGTTTCCTTTTTTCTTTGTACTCTCTTGATATCAGAGTTAATACTATAATAAATACCTTTATAAATGAATTGGGAAATGTTCTCTTTTATTTTTTGGAAGTGATTGTTTAGAATGTTGTTGATTCATTTTTATACATTTGGTGGAATTCTTCAGTGAAACATTCTAGGCCCAGAGATTTTAATTTTTGGAATTTTAAAATTATGAATTTAATTTTCTTAACAGTTAAAAAGTAATTCAAATTACTTGTTTTAAATTGAATGAGTTGTGTTTCGTTTTTAGAGGAAGTGGTTGATTTCATCTAAATTCTTAAGTTTTGCATGGGTGTAGAATTGTTTATAACGTTCTCTTATTTGTTGGATATCTGCAGGCTGTGTGTTGTCCTGTTTCATTTCAGTTACTGTGTTTTTTATTTTTGAGATGGAGTTTCGGAGTTTCGCACTTGTTGCACAGGCTGGAGTACAATGATGATCTCTGCTCACCACAAACTCTGCCTCCTGGGTTCAAGCGATTCTCCTGCCTCATCTTTCCCAGTAGCTAGGATTACAGGCATGTGCTACCATGCCTGGCTACTTTTTGTATTTTTGGTAGAGATGGGTTTCTCCATGTTGGTCAGGCTGGTCTGGAATTCCCAACATCAGGTGATCCACTGCCTTGGATTAGTTTTGGCAGCAGTTTGTTGATTTTACTGATCTTTGCAAAGAGCCATTTCTTGGTTACATTAATTTTCTCATTTATTTTCTGTTTTCAATTTCAGCGATTTCTGCTCTTTGTTATTTCCTTTTTTTCTGCTTGCTTTGGGTCTGTTGAGCTCTTCCTGTTTTTAGGTTCTTGTTAGCAGGTTTGACAGTTTTCCCTTTTTAAAATATGCTATTGTAAATTTTCCTCTCAGAAATGCTGTAGGTGTGTCCCACAAATTTTGATATTTTATATTTTCATTTTAGTTCACTCCACAGTGTATTTTTTTTTAAATTTACCTTATGACTTACTCTTTGCATCTCAGGACTGTAAGTGTGTTGTTTAGTTTCAAAGTGTTTCGAGATTTTCCTCATGTCTTTCTATTAATTTCTAGTTTATTTTGGTGTGGCTAGAAACACTTCATGTGACTTAAGTCCTTTAAATTGGTTCGCATTTGAGGGCCCACCATATAGTATATTTGATATAGGTTCTGTGGGTACTTGGGAAGAAGGTGTATTTTGCTGTTACAAGGGGGAGTGTTCTAGAAATGTTGATTAGATTTTGTTGATGTTGAGTTCTGTATACTTGATTTTCTGTCTAGTTTTTCTATCAGTTGTTGAAAGAGAAGTATTTAAAAGTCTACAATTATAATTGTAGATTTTTTTTTTTCTATGTTTTTGCTTTGCAGCCACATTGGTGTGTACACATTTAGAATTGCTATTACTTCTTGGTGGTTTGACTCTTTTATCATTATATAATGTCCCTCTCTGTCTTTGGTGTAATTTTCTTTTCTCTGAAGTTTACTTTATCTGATATTATATAACCAGCATGCTTTTTTTGATTAGTGTTTACATAGCATATGTTTTATATCCTTTTGCATACAACCTATCTATATTATTGTTTGAGGTAAATGATTTGTAACAGCATATAGTTGGGTCATGGTTTCTAATTAATCTGCTGTGCCAATTTCTATCTTTTAATTGGTGTATTTAGACATTTACATTTAATGTAATTATATGTTAATACTTAAGTCTTGGCCAGGCGCAGTGGCTCAAGCCTCTAATCCCAGCACTTTGGGAGGCTGAGGTGGGTGGATCACGAGGTCAAGAGATTGAGACCATCCTGGTCAACAAGGTGAAACCCCGTCTCTACTAAAAATACAAAAAATTAGCTGGGCATAGTGGCGCGTGCCTGTAATCCCAGCTACTCAGGAGGCTGAAGCAGGAGAATTGCCTGAACCCAGGAGGCGGAGGTTGCAGTGAGCCGAGATCGTGCCATTGCACTCCAGTCTGGGTAACGAGCGAAACTCTGCCTCAATAAAAAAAAAATACTTAAGTCTTTCCATTTGTTCTCCATTTTTGTTTTCATTTTCTGCCTTCCTGTGGGTTATTTGAATATTTTTAGAATTCCATTTGGATTCATCTGTGTTTTTGAGTGTCTCTCTTTGTATAGTTCTTCTAATAGTTGCTTTAGATATTTTTATATACATTGCTCTTGGTACATTATGTATATACATGTATCACAATTTACTGATGTTATTTTACCAGTTTGA